ATTAATGATTTTTGCAGCCCTATTACATGACTGTATTGTGTAAAGTATATTAGCGATGTTTTTCTTAGTGCCCACAATATCAAAAGACCTTTCTGGAGCATAAGGTCAATGGCACCCTCACCTGTTTCAACAATTGACTGATTGCTTTAGTCCCCTCCATACACTACAGGTCATGAGAAAGGAATCAAACTATCTGTAAGAAGCAGCAGACCAAATGACAAAGAAAAAAATTATAGTTGAATAATGCTGTCATACCTATAAATAAAGATACATAGTTTCTAATACTGTATTTAATATGTCATGTACTGTATAAACTTTAATCCACATTAATGGTTGAGACACCTAGGGTGACCAAATGTCCCAATTTTATAGGGACAGTCCTGATTTTTGGAGCTTTTTCTTACATAGGCACCTATTACCCTCCCCACCCCTTGTCCTGATTTTTCACACTTGCTGTCTGGTCACCCTAGGGACACCCTTTGTGAGTGACAAAGTTTTGGGATTTTTTTTTTAAAGAAATCAATTATACTGCATCAAACCAACATTACTTTATTGTTTAATGAAGAAATATACTAGATTAGTATATTAGGATGTAATTAACAGCACAAGTAGTACTTTAGGTTTGTTATCTAGAATTGTCTGGAATGGATTTTTGAAAGAGACCTTTAGAAATCTTATGTCTCACTTTGTCACATATTGAATGCAGCTGCAGGATATCAGAATACTCCCATATCATCTCGTTGCTCCAAGAACATAAACACATTCTGAAGATTCTGCACTGCGTCCTCTGCACTATTTTTTGTGCTTGATACAAGCTCAGTCATGTCTTATTCATCGTCTGCCTTCTTCTCCTGATTTTTCCCCTTGAACAGCAACGTTAATCTCAGAATCATCTAAAATTTGATATTGGGGATGGTTGCTGTCACACAGGAGCCATTGTTGGATATTCTCTTCATCCACTTCTTCAAAACCATGATGGTTATTTATAATTTCAAGAATATCATTGTTTTCCTCTGGGTCTGTTTAAAAATCAAGGAAATGTTTGTTGTCTTCAAGATCTGGCCACAGTTAATATCAGGCATGTTGAAATGTGATGTCTTTGACATCATTCCATGCCTTTGCAAAACCATAAATAGCAGTGACTTCCAAAAAAATAAACGTCATGTTGTTCAGTTAATAAATATTTCCACAATATATTTCAGTAATTTTTTTTGAAAGTCTACTTATAAATTGGTTTATTGGCTGCAAACAGAAGTCACATTTGGCAAGAGTGTGGCAAAAATCTGGTTATCTATCATCAGTTGCTCTTCCTGAAGATGTGAGGGAGCACTGTCCATCAATATAATTGCTTTTTCGGGCAACTGTTATTTCTGTGGATGGTTGCAAGCAGGGGACACAAATTTTGTATGAAATCAGTCTTAGTAAATATTCCTGTCCATCCATGCTGCCTTCTGGTGATAGTAATGAACTGCCAGAAGCTGAACATCTGTGCCCTTGAATGACTGACCTTTTGGCTTTGTCCACACAAGCCAATTGCAAACAATGCCTCCCACTTGCATTGGCACAGCGCATGAAAGTGATCATTTCCTTGCCTGACACATATCCAGGCACAACTGAGTGTGCAACTTGGAAGACATTTCCAAGAAACACCTGTCTCATCAGTATTGTAAACTTGATCTGGTAAAAAAATTTGCATTTCAATGCACTGATGAAATCTATCCTTGAAATTTTTGGATGCTTCACTCTCTGTGGAAAGCTTTTCTCCTCATATGCAAAGCACACAAATTCCATAGCGTGATTTAAAATGCATCAGCCACCCTTGACTTGCCACGAAAGGCTCGCTAATCATGAGGCAAACTAGCAGCCAAACCAGGGCTGCTCACTCAGCTGCCCCCCAACATGGTGGACCCCTTAGTGCTTGGCCAGCACATGGGGCTCTCCACCCCTTGTGTCCCATCATATACTACAAGAGGTGAGGCCAGCCTTACCACCCACTTCTTGTGCTTTCCTCGAGCAGGCCCTGCAGGGGGGTGCTCCCTGCCCACTCCTTCAGACCTCAGAATTGGGCCTCTGCCCCACAAACCTCCCCAGCTGCCCCCTACGCACCACCTGAGCTGGCTGCATGACATGTAGCCGGTCTGCCTCCGAACCGCATCTAGGAAACAGCTATACATGCTTGTGCTCTGCACCCTTCACTTCTTCAGCCTCGAGTCTTGCCCCTACACCATGAGGTGGGACCTCCTATCACCCGTGGAAGGTGAGGAAACCTGATGGGCCAGTCCATATTCCACCCTGGTCCCACAGCCTGATGGGGACATTAGTTGGCAGCTCCTTCACGGAGCCATGAACACCGGCATGTACCTGGTGCAGTTCACTACCTCCCCCGAGACCTGCCCCTTCCACGGTGAGAGGGAGATCCTGTGCACATCTACATTGAATGCGCTGGGATGCAGCCCCTTTTCTGGCTTCTCCAAAACCTTCTCCGTAAGTTCTGGCGGACTTTTCCCTGCACCTCTTGATTTAAGCACACCCCATCCGTGGCCCCACAATTGGCCATGAAGTCATGAGACCTCCTCATCAACCTCCTCCTGGCTCTGGCCACGGTGGAGGAAGCTGGATGGAGAGGTGCTCTGTGACACTGGGGCCTACTTCTGATCCTCCCTTAAGTCACGTCTCTGGGCAGAGTTCCTTTGGACTGTGTACACTGGCTCCCAAGACACCTTCAAAGAGCAGTGGGTGCTGTCCAGGGTTCTCTGCTTGGTGTCTCTCTCTGGATCCCTGCTTTTGAATCTGTGACCTTCACTCTTGTACCTGTTTTTTTCCATTTGTCCCTGTGATGCCACTTGCAACTCAGGTACCACTTAGCCCCCCTGGCCCATCAGCCTGGGCTCCCTCTCACACTGTGGTTCTGTGATAAGTTGCCAAGCTCTCCAAGCTTGCTCTTTCACCAGCATACACACAGGTGATGGACACACCAGCTGCAGAACTTACAGGCTGCTGTGATCAGCTCTGCATGGGGAGGCTACAGCTAAGGAACTGCCCAGTTGCTCAAGAGCACACACCCCTCTGGAGTGTAAACCCTAAATAATAGCATCTTGTGCTGCACAGAAATCTGTACAGCATAAGCTCATAAAATTCACTCCTTCCCTCACTGTGGAGAGAGAATATACAAGAGATTTTTGCCCCAAGTTATAAACCCCACACACTGGTTTGTGATTAAAGCAAAAGCAAATTAACTACAAAAGAGAGATTTTAAGTGATTATAAGGGCTAGCAAACAGATCGAACCAGGTTACCTAGCAAATAAACAAAACGCAATCTAAGCTTAATATACTAAGGAGATTGGAAATGAGTAGCAAATTCTCACCCTAAATGATTATATAAGCTGGCTTCCGGCTCTTAAGGGACAAGCTGCACTTGCTTACAGCTTGGAATCCCCAGGTGTTCCTTTCACAGGCTAAAAATCCCTCTAGCCTGGATCCAGCACTCCCCCCTCCCCCCCAGTTCAGTCCTTGTTCCTCAGGTATTTCCAGGAGTCTCTTTGGGCGGGGAGTCAGTGAACAACCTTGATGTCACTCCCCTGCCTTAAATAGCTTTTGCATATGGTGGGAACCCTTTGTCTCCAAGCTTTGTTCCCATGCCTTTCAGTTGAAAAACACTGGTTTTCCAAGATGGAGTCCAGTACCAGGTGATCTGGTCACATGTCCCTGTAGTGTCATAGCAACCATGACTCAGAGGCTGTTTGTAGGATCCTCAGGAAGACTCCTGGCTGGGAGATTAGCTTCTTCTAAGACCTATTTTTCTTCCTAATGGTTCATTGACTTGAATGGGCCATTTCCAGCCAGCCATCTAGACTGACAGTCTTTTGTCTAGTGGGCATTCCCCAGGTGTAACCACTTCTGTAATAGCTACATAGACAATATTCCTAACTTCAGATACCAAAATGATACTGAATATGATTATCCTATTTGTATGAATGTAAGTCATAACCTTTACAATGATATTTCACATGACCTATCTTGTATAAAATACATCATTGTTATGCCATAATCCTATCATAATAATAATCTCTATGAAGAATATAGGATGCAGTGTCACAGTTCCCTGTAATCTTTTTGATGCCTGGGTCCTGTGATTCTTCCCCTTAGGCTTTCGATGTGGGCAGGCTTTTAACTGTCTATCCCCAGAGGCTCAATAGGTACCCCTACAACAGAGCTGTGATGAGGCAGCACTCAGGCAGGCACCAACAACTCAGCTGCACTTAATCTTCCCACAGAGCCTGCAGTGACTCAGTCTTCAAGCATGGAGCAGCAGCCTATCCAGGAGTAGAGGCTGGGTCAGATAATCCTCAGGTTCAGGTACTTCCCCGCCCCCCAACCCCGGCAGAGCTGCAGATTAGTCTGTGCAACAGAACTACCCAGCCAGGAACCCTCCTGCAGCCTTGCAGTGTATCAGACTCCCTACACGTCCAGCTTGCTCCTGATCCAGTTCCTACTCCAGCCTTGCCTGGGTTGTGTTCCAGTCTTGTCCTTGCCCAACCCTGACTTTGCTCCACTCTGTTACTGGCCCGCTCCAGCCTTGCCTCTGCCTCCTGATCCTCTTGGACTCTGACCACCAGGCTTCAACCTTTGCCCTGTATCTGGATTCCAGCTACAGTCCCTGTCACTCTGTCTAGAGTGGCTCACAACTGAGAGCAGCAATCTCAGGTCAGCCTGTCAGAAAACAGGGCAGACACCCCAAACTGGTGGTTTATTCTATAATTAGATTTCACATATGTGTACTCCTGGATCACTATACCAGTCTTACCATGGAGTCACAACAGTCCCCTTAGACTCTCCAGAGCATCTTGCCACCCAGACAAAGTAGACTTTGTGATGAAAAGTTAAAACCAAAAATCACCTCACATTAGGTTACTCCCTATCCTAAAGGGTCAGTCACTTACCCCAGGTCAATGAATACTCATGACCTCACACCAAAAACAATGCTGGCAGCCAATTTCTCTAGTAAACTAAAGGTTTATTAGCTAAGAAAAAGAAGAGTTATTGAGTGGTTTAGAGCAGGTAAAATACATTAACAGATGAGTCCAAGTTTGTAAGTCCAAAGTGATAGCAGAGATGTAGTAATCTGTTTCCATAAGTCTCTTGGGGTTACCCAAAATGACTTTGGGGATCTCTGTCTTGCATCTGGAATGCTCCCTGAAAGTGTCCAAACAACTCAGATACAAGATCATTCCCTGGATCCATTCTTATAGCTGTTTTCCCTGGAAAGCAATCTGGCAAGTGTTTCTGTCACAACATGGGCTTTTCCTTAGCATGCGTCTTCATTTACAGTTCCAAGGCTCCAATCCTGTTTGATGGGCAATCTAATTACAGAGATATACACAATGCATTCAGTCACAGCAATCCAAACAATCTTTCATTAGTTTGCACGAAGTTTACACATCAATTCTCACTAACAAACACTTTTGATCTAGGGTTAATCAAGTACAGGGATATACATAATGTAAGGCAATAGCAACCAACAGGTAAATTTAGTGTAAATGTAATTACCAGTTCAGATGCCATGTAAATGTAATGTGGTAACATCCCTCTTTGTTCTACTTTAACAAGTGAATTGGCCTATGGCTTTGATTTGAACTGGTCTGCCAGCATCATGCTGAGCTAGTCTGTCAGCGTCACAGTACTGATTTGGCTTGTTCATGGACTCTGATCACCTGGCTTCGGCCTGTATCTGGACTCTGGCTATAGTACTCAGTTTGGCTTGTCTGCGGACACTGATCTCTGTTCTGATACTGGCCTGTTCCCATATCTTGGTTCAGCACTACCCTCGGCAGTCCCAACCCTATGTCTGGTTTCTAGCTCCATTCCAACCACTAGGCATGATTATTGAGAGGCAGGGCCTGACAATGTTCATTTTTGCATGAAATTCCCTGCCCTTTTTCTGCTATCATTGGTCCTGAAACTGGAATTCCTTCAGCATGTTTCTGTTTGAACCATGTGTATGAAGAAACTCCTCCAATTAAGATTTTTTTTCAGGCTTCCTCTTCAGCACACTAACCATGCTATCACCGTCATCAATAAACTTACGAATCCATGACTTGCCCATGTTCAAGTCATACACAGTTCACAAACCACAATTATACTCCAGTGAAAGGTGTTTTTTTTTTTTTTTTTTTCTTTTGCTGGGATGCCATGCTCAAATTTCTCTATGGTCTCAAGTTTCTGTTGCAGGATTAAGAAAACTCTCTTTTTCTTTGTCATGCTATAGGACTCAGAACCAGATGGTAATGGTTGTTTGTGCATTATAATTCAGGCTTTTTCCTTTCTTCTTTTTCACTCGAGAGATTCCGACCCCCTTCTCTTATGCATGGCCCCATTCTCTCCTTGGTTTAGCATTGGAAAATAATGCTGACTTTAACAGTGTATGAATTTAATTAAATGTTATAATATTGCAAAATGAAGTTAAAACAAACCTTCAGAGGTTTTATCATCATTGTCCTCATTTATTAATAATTGTTCCCCTACCCCATATTTGGTTTCCTCTTCCTTCTGATCATCTTTGTCCAGACTCCACCAAGACGACTGCATGTTATTCATCAGGTGCATTAACTTCACCTCTAATACATAGCACTTCTCATTTGCCAGAGCAGGAGTTATATCATGCCCAGGGATAGTGCTTGTAAAGCAATTTTTCATGGGCAATTACAGTGCACATGATGCAGTGCTCCACAGTTGGCAAATAGGGTCCATCGCATCTACTGACCCTACTTCCAAAGTGGTGCTTCCTGACTGCTATGCCAGCACTGTTTTCTTAGAGGAGCTGTCTCAATGAATTTGATTATATTCACTTCAATGGATGGTTCTGGAGAAGATTTTATTGTATAAGGAAATAATCCTTTGAAGAGGTTGTGTGGACAACAGCTATTTGTGGGATATTTTTCACAGACAAATTTTGAAAATGGTGCACAGCCCGTGGTGCCTAAATGTGAGCTGATAATTTCAGGGTGTAAAGGAATATTCTCCCCTAACCTGGTTCTCTACTGCTTGTACAACTTGTATCATAGTATACTCTGAGTGTTGCACTCCTTGGGCCAGATTCTGATGTCCTTTATACTGGTGTAAAAGCAGAGCAACTCCATTGACTTCAATGCAGTTACTCCAAATTTCCTTCGGTATAACTAAGATCAGAATCTGGCCCTCTGTCTGCAGAGGAGAATGGCCAATGGATCAGTATCTGCAATGATAGGGTGAAGAGAGTCCTCCCACAGCAAAATTCTCAGGTGCACAGAAGTGTGCAGACACCCTGTGTAAAGGTCCCTAAATCCCATCTCTTCTCCTTTTTCAGGGGGGGAAACCTCTTTAATAGTGAGTAACAGACAACAGTTTAGGACAGACAATGAACATATACCCAAGTGAAATGGCAGAGGCACTAGAGCTAGCTAGTCAGTATATTATCTAAACTGCTACTTTGGCAGGATGCTCTCAGTTTTGCAAGATATGCCCTACAGTCTTTAGTTACTGCAGAGGGGTTAATGTCTCGTGAAAGGCAGTACTTCCACCAGCACAATGCCATCATCATCATTCGAGGGTATTGCTTATAGGGAGCAAATAGCAACTACTGAATTAAGTCTCCCCTTCAAACAATGTTCAGGTTCAACCCAGCTTAACTTGCAATAACTGAAAATGTTACAGGCAGCAATGTCATATAGTAGCACCAGGCCTTCACTAATTCCTGTCTGCTATAACATGACTTCTACCTACCCAGTGAGGCAATACATTACCCCAATGTCATCCTATCCTCTAGATCTCATTTAAATATCTGTAAATAAAAAATAAATGGACCTGTAGCTTCAACACTTGCCCCGGTAAACAGAACAGGACTGAATCTCTCTCAAAGGAGACCTCTTTCAGTCAAACTGTGGCCACTACTGGAGTTGTGCCACTTCAGCACAAGTTATCCGAGTTAACAAAAAACAAGTCTGAGTTATAGCCGTCCCTCCACTTTCTGTGACTTTCTGGGCACTTGATTTTCCCCACAAGTCATACCACTACACACTGATATGTTGATATCAAATGTAATATTACATCCATCCTCCAAGGGAGGACAACAGAGGATTCTATGACCAACGTGACTGGCATAAATAAAAGTATATTAACTTGGCAAGGGTTTTAGCTAGCCCTCTCTCCTCCCCTTCTCTCTAATGCGGGCTGTGGGAGGGGGCTCAGTCCTCCATTCCCTCTGGGGCTGAGTGCGGGGGGGGTGTGTGGTTGCTGAAGGATTAGTTAGCTTCCCCTCTGTCTCCATCCTATTGTGATGGGGAGGGGAGCGCCCCAAGTGTCGCTCGGTCACTCAACCTCATTTCTCTCCCTGGGGATCAGCGGGGGGATGCTGGGGAGCCCCCCCGGTGTTGGCAGGTGGGTGCTGGGCGGACTCCCCCGGGGAGCTGGAGAATCACCCTGGTCTGGCGCTGGGAGCTGGGTAGCCCTCTCTCTCTCTGCTACTGGGGAGACCCCCCCGGTGCTGGAGGGAGCCCCGCTTCCCCCGCGTGCTGCCGGGACGGACAGGGGCCGGGGCAGGCCGGAGACGCTCTCTCCCCGCGGGCTGGCGGGTGGGAGCCGGGGCGGGGCGCGCTGTGCGGCGGGGGCGGTGCTCGCTCCTCCTCCTCTGGGGCCGCGCGGGGGAGGGAGGCGGCGGCGGATCCGGGGCCTGGCGGAGGCGGAAGGGGCGGGCGGACGCGGCGCGGCCGGGCCTGACTCTGCGGGACGCGCGATGCTGGTGAGTGCCGAGGCCTCGGCAGCGCCGCGGTGTCGCAGTGAGGCCGGCTGCGGCGGCGGGACGGGCGCGGGGAGGCGGCCGGAGCGGGACGGGCTGCGGGGTCCGGCTCGGAGTCGCTCCGCAGCCGCCGCGCAGGAGAGGCCCGGACGCCGCCGCTTCTCGTTCTTCCCTTCGGGCGCGTTTTATGCCCTGGCCCGCCAGCCCCGGGGTGGGGCCGAGTCCGGCCGGGGATCCGGCCCCTCTGCCCTGGGCTCGGCCTCTGGTGAGAGGCCTCGAACTACGCACTGGAAATGCCTTCCCCGGTACCGCCCCGGAGCCTCCCTCCTCCAGTCCCAGTGTCGCCCTAGGACCTCCCGCCCCAAGGAGCAGCCCCCCGCCACCGTCCCAGTGTCACCCCAGGAGCCTCCTGCGCAAGGGAGCAGCCCCCACACTGCCTCAGTATTGCTCCTGGAGCCTCCCCTCCCCAAGGGGCAGTCTCAATGGCTGGCTCTCTCACCCCCTGTGGCCAGCTCCTCTCGTTCCCAATATTATCCCAGTCACTCCAGAATATTCTGTTCCACAGCCCCTCACCCCAACCCCCAGTGACCGACTGCAAGACTTCTCTATCATCTCAGTTATCCCTGACCCCCGTATCATCCCAGTTCCCTCCAGCCTCCTCCCACTCTTTAAGAATGTGCGACTAACTACTCCCCAAAGCCCCCTACTTTCCCTTCATCCTCAGTGACTGTCCCTGTAACCCTACCCAGTGACTATCTCCATAGTCCTCAGTGTTCCTCAACTAAATCCTTATAATTCTCCAGTTAACATTCTGCCCCCCACTAACAGCTCTGTAACAGCCTTACAGTGATCCATTTTTTCCCTTTAACTGGGATCCTTTTCCCATCCCTTTAATCATTCTTTGTCCCTCAGTGTGGAGGATTCATCCACCATAATTACTCCCCTGCTGTAATTCTTCCTCCAAAAAACTATTTCCCGCACTGTGATTCTTACCCCTGCTGATCTTATTTACTTGTCCTCAAATCTTTCCCTAAGATCCCTCATTATCTTCCCATTACACTTATTCCTTCCTTTCTGTGAACCCACCTACTGTCTCTACTACTTTGTACTTATAGCCTCTAGCTGTGCCATTTTTTTTTTTTGGTGGGGTGGTGCCAGTTGGCTTAATTTTTGAACACCTTTTCCTATCCAGGCTGTGCACACAGATTTCCCTATCTTTATTAATTTGCCCCAATTATGTTTTCAGTTCTCTGTGAATAACAGCTAACCAGTTTAACACCTCGAGCCCGAATCTATGTTGCTTTATTTACTGCATGTATAACTTTTCTCTTTTTGTCTCACTTTTTATCTGGGGATAATTACCTGATCCATCAGGTGCTTTAGTAAAAACCTGCTATTTTGGAGAAGTTGGGGGAGAGAATAGTGAGGGAATGGGGAATTAGCTGAAAGTAGCAACTCAGAAATTGTTTCCACTACAGTATTGTGAATTGGTGATTTTGGGTGAGGGAGGGATGTTTGGGAAGTAACACTGTTTGGAATCTTTTCAAAAGCAAAAGTGTAGTAAATTGGCCCACTTTCACCACCTGCAGCCCTGGGCACTTATTGTAGAGGCTTGCATTGGCAGATGAATTGACCTGATATGACCCTCCTAAAAATTGGTCGCTTCCCTCTCTGATTTTGTGGTTCAGAAGATTCATAGATTATGAGGCCAGAAGGGACCACTGTGATCACATAGTCTGACCTTCATTATATAGAACTTGCCTGAAATAATTCCTGTTTGGACTAGAGCATATCTTCTAGAAAAACATCCAAACTTGATTTAAAAATTGCCAGTTGATCCTCCTTGTAGTCGACCTATCCTTGCTCCTCTTGTCACTGTTAGTTGCCTAATCTGTTAATGTTGATTGCTTTATCCTTGTAACTTGAATATTGCAGTCAGAATTAAGTGCCATGCATAATTAGAATACTGTGTGTGTCACATTGGTTTGAACCTGTTTTATAGTTGGTGTCTATAAATTAGCTCTTGTCTGCATGAGAAAGTTGCACCGGTTTCAATTAAATCTTCATGAAAGAAATTAGCTAATTTTATGCAAACCCCTGTGTGGACACTTATTTTGGTTTGTTTGTGTCTTACTTGGGTCTGTCTTAAATTGATTCCTATAGAATTTTGCTGTTTTTTATAATGTAATATTCAAGGAGATATTTAATACTCCGTTCTATTAAATATTGTTCATCAATTACATTTCTCTGGTGCTGGATTGTTAGTTTGAGTACATGAAACATGGAAAGGCCCACTCTACTAGGTCAGGCCTTGTTTACACTACCAGGGTAAGTCGACTTAAGTTACGCTATTCCAGCTATGTGAATAATGTAGCTGGAGTCGATGTAGCTTAGGTCGACTTACTGCGATGTCTACACTGTGCAGCGTCAACGGGAGACGCTGTCCTATCAAGTTACTTTACTCTCTCATTCTGGTGGAGTACTGGAGTCCACCGGACAGTGGTCTGCAGTAGATTTAGCAGGTCTTCACTAGACCCGCTAAATTGACTCCCGCTGCATTGATTGCAGCACCATCTATCTCTGTTAAGTGTAGACATGGTCTCAGGAATTATTCATTGGTGACAGTGGTTACCAGCATAGGGTCCACCTGTACTTAAACTACTTTCAGTGCCAGTAGAGAAAACTGCTAGTGGACAAAATGATTTTTAACATGGTTCCTTTATACTTTCTGTAATGTTACTGAAAATAGTTTTGTTCCATGTGCACCAGTAATTAAATCACTTTCAACACGGGTTTAGAGAATGCATGGTGGGGGAAGTGGAGACATACCCATTGCTGAAAACAGTTGCTAAGGGCAGGTCTACACTACAGCTGGGATCAGTGCTCTGAGATCGATCCACCAGCGGTTGATTTAGCAGGTCTAGTCAAGACCCACCAGATCGATTGCAGATTGCTCTCCAGTCAACCCCTGTACTCGACCCCCAACGAGAAGAGTAAGGTAAGTCGATGGGAGATTTTCTCCTGTCTACCCCCCCTGTGGTGTAGACCCTGCGGTAACTCGACCAAAGGTACATTGACTCTAGTTATTCACATAGCTGGAGTTGCGAAGCGTAGGTCGACTTACTGCGGTAGTGTAGACATAGCCTAACAAAGGGCCATTTTCCTATTGCAGATAGATATAAAGGCCATGTTATGCAACAGCTTTCCCAGGGTTTTATAGCCAGTTGGTGGCACAATCATATTAATGGTGTTACAAATAAAAGTTCAGTTTGTCTGCACAGCTTTGTTCTATTGCAGCTGTGATTGAGAGTCTGTATTTACCACAATGTATAATCTTGTTTTTATCCATACATTCTAGGAAAAATCTGGGGAACTGTGGTGCCTCGGCAGGGGACACAGGGTTTGGAGGACATGCACACAAAACAATATCAGCAGCGTATAGGATAGTGTATCTTTATGGTTTTCTGCTGCATGTTGCAGCGAGGAAGGATACCTAGTGAAACCAGCAATAAACTTAGTTATGGGGGTCCTGGCTGCACTATAAAAATGTGTAAACCAATTTCAGAAAGACAAGCTTGTTCCAGCAGGGGCAAAACACTGTTAGTTGCCACAGTTTCTGAATTTTAATGATGAGGTAAATTGAAGCAAATGGTGATTTGAGCCAACCGTGCCAATAACTAGTTGTAAGCTTTGTTAAAAGTTGTAGTCTCGTGTTATATAGGGATTGTATAGGATTTATTTTTAATCAGCCACAGTGACTGTTTTTTGCATTTATTACAAGAGAACTTCTGATGAAGGCAAGAAAGAAAAGGAAATAGCTTAAGAAATGAGAGAGAAAGCCATTGAGCTTGTCTACACTAGCATTTTTTGTCAAAGGTTTCACTATGATTGTTGCATCTCCATTGGAAGAACTAATGTAGATTGTCTACTGCTGTGTTTACTGTTGTGCAGCCTAGATTTGCTGTGAGCAGGGTTAAATTACATGGAGGTGAAATTGCCAAGGTCAGTCTGCACCAGGGCTCCCACTGGTGGATCTACACTGGCACTAGTACAGAAGTGAGACATCATATTTGTATCAGGCTTTTCGTAATATCATTTAATGTAGCATTATAATATGTCTGGACTATTTCCGGCGCTTGGGGGGGGGGGAAGCAATACTGTTTCATAAGATTGTCAAATTCTTTGCCATATTTTTCTTTCTTAAAAAAAAAAGCAGAATGATCAGCTTGTCAGTGTTTTAGAAGCACAATTTTATTTGTCTTCTACAAACGTTTTTTAAAAATCCAAAGAAGCTGCATTATAAATTTCATTTAGATTCTACACTGTATTTTTAGTATAATACATTCTGCATCTATAGTGTGTTCTATTTGAGAATCTTGAAGGGTTTACAAACCTGAATTACTATACCTTTGAAGTTAGGAAAATATCAATCCTATTTTACACATTAGGAAACTGTGGCACAGGAAGTTTGTGGCAGAGCCACGGATCTCTTGGATCTCTCCGTACTTAGTATTATACCTCAACCTCAGCACCATCCTTCTTTTCTCAAGTTAGCAACATAATTCTTATTTGCTATTTTCAGAATCTGGGACAGAATTACATTACTTTCCCCATCTCCCTCATCTTCCCCTTTGATTATTCTGCTTTTGGAAGGATTGTCAGAGTCAGAAGGTTCACTGTTAGATGGTCATGTGGGATCTGTGTAGTCTGATGACACTTTTAAATCTCATACTAAAAGTAAAGGATTGAAACATATTTAATCTTAATAATATCTTCCAAGTTGTACATTTTATTCCAAGGTTAATTGAAAACATCACTCTTGGATCTGCTTTTTAATTGAACATATGTACACCTGCAATAGTAATGGTTTATACAATGCTACTTGTCCTTGTGTCAAAGTTGCTGTCATTAACACTACCTAAGATTATTAGTGTTACTGTAAGTGTGTGAGAAATTGAAGTTGAAATAACTGACCTCACTTCCATACAAAGTGAGGGGCATGGTGAGCAATAGACTACTGTTGGATGTGGGGAATTATGGGAGGCTTCTTCCTCTGGCCTGCTGCTACCGTTTTTCTAGAGAGGATGGGAAGAGGTGCTCATTCTCTCT